AAGCTTTCACAGGGGCGAAGCGCAAACACCGTTGGTTTGGCCAAAACGTCCTGATCAGGTGTGAAACGGGCCCTAGCATCCGCAAAAACAATTGCCTCTTAGCCTGCACTGAGATAGTCAAGAAGGTTGAATCTCATTGTGCTTTCAACTAAGGTGTCTGCATCGGCCATTCGACCTTAATTAATTATACAGTTCCAAGAAACACTTCACATGCACAAGTCAAACAGTCAAACATCAGTCACAAAGGGCACTGGAACACCGGCCAATCATTTGTTGACGGTGCCTGCTACAAAAACTCCCTCATCCAGTCAAGCTGCGATACTTCTGTACCGTTGCCTTTTTGCCCTCGATGTCGCACTTCCCTGACTGAGGGTGCCCAGCCTCATCTAAACGAGCTCACGTCACGACGGCGTCCGCTAGAAATGTAACATTCACTATACTTATAGGCCTGTAACTAGGCCTGTAGGTACATTCAATTTCTTGGTCTAGTGGTCAAAACCTTCCCCTGTTAAGAGATGCCGCATGATCTCCACGGCCCGATTCAGGAACATCGTAGACATTCGAATGGCACATCTGTGGACCCCAAAAAATGAGACTAACTTCAGCCTGGCTGCCATCACGTCACCGCCTGATGCTGGCAGCTTCGAAGGGCGGAAAGAAGAGAATTGCATGGAATTGCAAGGTGTCCACTTGCTCGAGATCTTGAAAACTGATCCTAATCCATCCACATCCATCTTCGTCAGCATGTCTGATCGTATCTTCCCAACTATGGACCCAATGATTAAGTTGCTAAGTGCGACGCAATCTGGATCAACGCAGCCGTCATTCTTGAGGAAGTCCACTTGCCACGAAGCAAACTGCCTCCATGAAGGAGGCTCTAAAGGATGCATCCCCAAAGGTAAACATCGGACATACGTTTGGGTTTTGAAAAGAAGTCAACTCCTACATACTCCTACTGTCCCGAGCCGGCATCACTGCCCTCCCAAGCGCCTCCCATCGTCAGCTTCATACCCCAAGGATGCTGGCCGCCCGGCACATGTCTTAAAGCCTTCAGCTTCGAGTGGCACTCTGCAATCTGAATTTTGGGAATGAATTAACCAAAGGCTGGAACAACAAAACAGTAACAATCCGAGGACTTACCCTGCCCTGCCTCTGTCAGTATAAATGCCATACTTGAAGCCCAATTCGTGCAAGCGATCACCCAAAGCTTTCATACCTTTTAGGATCGGTGCCACAAAATGGATCGGTTACATACAGTAATTGGATTCATCGAAGAGAAGGCATTCTTTCGTGCAACATCCGGTCCTGATGGAAAGGCTGCTTTGTCTGATTTCAGCTTGCCTTTGGCCTCGGCCAGTTTCAAGTCCCATGAAGAGAGACATAACTTCTCACAAAGGCCAATTTAAAAGCCCCGAAAGCCCAAATTTGAAGCTAGGCATGTGTGGCGCATGGTTTGCATTCGTCCAACTGCAACCCACACAGAAAAGCGACAGTGCAGATCAGTGTAGCACGTTTTCCAGGTCGCACCGGAGGGATGCCACCCGGTTTCTTCTTACAGGGTTTGAGTCAAAATCTCGGCCCCGTGTTCCGTCACCAACACAGTATGTTCCCACTGCGCACTCCAGTCACCATGTTTGGACAGGATCGTCCAACCATCTTCCAAGGCCTCAGTGATCTCAGCGCTTTGACCTTCCAAGAAGATCGGTTCAATGGTGAAAGTCATCCCTGGAAGCAATTCTAGAGCCAAACTGTTGGGCACATGGCTGACATTTGGAAGCATGTGCAGCTCGCTTCCAATGAAATGCCCACAAAATTGGCTCACGACATGCAGGCCGCGTTTGCGCGCAAAGGTGTGACAAAAATGGCCAATTTGGTTCAGTTTCACTCCTGGACCCACCAATTGGACAGCTTCATCCAGGCATTCTTTGGTTGCATCAACCAGAAAACGGGCATCTTCGTCGATGTCTCCCACGCAAACCATGGCAGAGCAATCTCCGAAGGCTTCATCTGAATAGACCGTGACATCGAAATTGATGATGTCTCCAGACTCCAAGGGCCGCGTATTGGGAACACCATGCAGGGCCACCTCGTTGGGTGACGCGCACAAGCCACGCGGGAAGCCATGGTAGTTGATACCAACCTGTTTGGCCAGTTGCGCAGAGGGAAATAACGTTTATCGATGTTTATCGTGCAGTAAATTGTTTGGATGTGGCAAACGATCATCTGCCAAGTGGCCGGGTAGGCTCCTCTTCCAATGATGAACTCACTGGTCCTTCGGTCTACCTCATCGGTGGTCACGCCCTCCTTGGCCGCCTCACAAGCAACCTGGAGCGCCTCCGCTGCCAGGCCACAAGCCCTTCGCATCCGCGCAATAGCATCCTCAACTTCAACCATCACCCACGCGCCCAACAAGAAGAGAAATTGATCGTTTGTCAATATAAGTTCAATGTGGCTGGGTGCCACTAACAGTGAGCACAATCGATGATTGGCTGTCAGTCTTCAAGATCTGTTTACGTTTGGAGTGGCAATACATTCGCAACACAAAAGCCAAAGGCCAAGAAGCCTAGGAAAAAATGCAAAACACTTTCTATGTGGTTCCTGAAATGCAGCTTGATTTCTGGGCTTTTCTGCTGCGCATACTCCTCCGCCGTCAACTGCCTTGGCTGCCCTCGAGGGTGCTCGGCATAGGACGGCCGCGGAATGTGTGCTGGCACCGTTACCGGAGGGGGCACCCTCCAGTTGCTCAAGGGCGCCGCCGGCGTGTTGGGCCGAGTATAGCGGGGCTTCCCTGCTTTACTGCTGAAGCAGCGCTGGCGAAGCAAACGCAAACTGCGCAGCATGGCAAAGGTAGCCGATCTTCTGAACCTACAGATTTACTGTAGTCATTGGCTTGGCCTTGGTATCATTGACTCTTACATACTTTATAGGTAGCAGCTCCTGTTTTGCTTGACTGCTGGACTTGGGCTTGCCATGGCTTGCCAACATCATCTTTAACACATGCACAGAGGTCGAGACATGTCCAGTGAGTCTAGTGGAGAACAGTGAGCATCCAAGCCAATTTGCTGCACGGGCTCGTAATACCGAGTTCCATCTATCAGTCACCCCGATTGAAAAACACAAGAAGGTGGCAGCTGTATGAGGCCTGGACAGTTCTGCTGATCATCCAACCTAGGCCAAGGTTGATGACACCAACTCAGACTGCGTGGAGTAGCTAGGTCAGAGAATGGAACTCAATGGCACAGCCAGGCCACAGTCATCCACCACAACGTACTCATAGCCGAGCTGTAGAAAGCCCAAGAGCTTCAGCTTTTCCTGAAAATCTCCCTCGCAGCGGTTTTCACATCCTGCACCCCTTCAGAACTTCAAAAATAGGTCCAGTGGTCGCTTAAATGAAACACGATACACTACAGTCTGCATGCGCGCTTGTCTTGGGCACAGTTAGGTAGCCAACTGCCAGCCTAGTAGCGTGGCACTTGTTACTACTAGTAAGGCACTTGTTCCTAGTAGCTTCTTGTTACTACTAGTAAGGCCAGGAGCCCCTAGTAGCGTCCTTGCTCCTAGTAGCGTGGCACTTGTTACTACCAAGCTCCTTTCCACTCCCATCTACCCATGTGATATCCGGCTGAGCGTCTGCGATCGCCTCGGCACTTGTGCCACCCACACGTCACTCCCAGCTGACAATGGCAAACCGTTATATAGTACGAGTCTATACGAGTCTATAGTCACTACATGTCACTGACAAAATGCCTTAGACACCAAGTGACTATGAGCTTCTGCTCTGATGGCCTGCATTCTAAGTCATTCCAGGAATTGTAGCCCATAGGTGGTTTCTGAGCAAGACCATCCTCGGCCAGTCACTGCAAACAGCGTGTCGCGACAGTTCCAGCCCTACAGACCTTTTCTGCCCAGTCTCCCTCCCTCTCTCCCTCTCTCCCTTCCTCTCTCTCTCTCTCATCAAAAGCACAGTGGATTTGAAATCCTTGCATTTCTCCAAAATTTACTCTGACGCTGTCCAAGGTTCGCCTGGCAATGCCGCAGATTGAGAAACCAGAAGGGCCTCGGAGTCAATTAATCTATTCCGAGTTATCCCAACCCGACTGGGAGGACCACTTGAATGGGCACTGACCACTGGGTCAGGACACTGAGTTGGCTGTCTAAAGAGATGGCTTATGTCCTCTGAAGCTAATTGCCTAAGTTTGCCTTAAACGATACCAGCGCAACAAGCAGAGTAAGCTTGGCTTTACATGGATCATCATAAATGGAATGAAAGCCCAAGGGGACCAAATCGAAGGTTGCCAAGGCAAGAGTTCAAAGAAAAAGCATGCTACTTCTGCACATTCAATCCCGTGACTGTTCTGAAGCCAGTCTGCATTTTGGTTAACTGCAGGTAGCTCTCCGTTTGAAACTCCCTCCTCAGGCCAGGCTGCGGAAAACCAACTTCGGGCCATGGCAAACATGGCCAGCGCTTGAATAAACGTCACATGCCGCCCTCATACAACACAGCGAGAGCTGTCGCTCTGCTGATGTTGCTCGGGCGTAGAGCTATCAGAAAAAAGAAAGGGGGCAATCTCAAAGTGTTTGGTATATGTCAGTGGGGGACAGGGTGCTCGTATGGCAGAGCTGAGCTTCCAGTAGCCATGATGGAATGCAAGCTAATGCTGATGGCTCTGGAGACTTTGCCCTCTAGTGTTTAGTTGCCTGCTGTATTGGATGTGTTTCGTGCTGCCTCTTGGCACGGTTCGTCTAACAGTCTAACGTTTTCGGGAGAGATGCTAAAGGGTCTCTCTGCGCGTATGGATTTCGGGCCGGAATCATCCCTGCCGGACTCCTCTAGTCGTAGCGAAAACTTGCCAGATGTCTCTCAATATCAATCCAACTCCTCAATCATGGAGTTTCAGAACTTCCTTTAGAACTTTTTACGGCAGTGTGGAGCAGCACTCTCAAGGCATGACCTCCCATGACCTCGTCGTTCTCCAAGCCATCCGACCCAAAAAAAGTGCCTCCACCCCAGCATGAAAGATGCCACCAAACCTTGAAGGTGAAGTTTCTCGAGGATTAAAAGAAAGTGGCCGCCAGCGGGCCATGTATCTGTTAAAGGATGTGAAAGGGCATCATTTCAGCTTTGCAAAGCTTGGCTTTAGGCCAAACTTATGTCTCCCTCTTTGCCAAGCTAGTGGGCCCTGGGGTGTGTCAGGTTTTGTGTCATCGGCATAGGCTTTAGAATCTGGTCCTGTCTCCTTTCCTGTGACAATGGTGATCACGGACTTATTAAGGCCACACGGTTTGCCCCAGCAAACGGCAAGCAATTCTGCAGAGTGCATTCTACAAAGACAGGAAGTAAGTAAGCTGAGAACTTCAGAGGCATCCGCTTGTTGGCCAACACCTTGGTGCGGGGCAATGTCAAACCACAATCAGGAGCACACTGTGAAGAAGCGGGCTTCATCGTCCACCCAATTTAATTGATCTACGAGCATGGTGGCTAAGTCACATCAATCGGATTATGTCACATCATCCCAGTGGTACGGCCTGTAAAGTTGGAAGTCACATCAGGGCCCGAAAGTCCGAATCTTACAAATCTCAACTCTTGCCTAGCGCACAGCCTCCCGATACGACTTTCCAGGGGTTGATACGACTTAAGCCGACCGCTAGTATCAATCATAGTCGATCCGTCTCTCTGTCCACCGTGCACCTGCACGCAAATATCTATAAAGACTGGAGCAGCCATTCAACGTCACTTCTGCTTGCCACTTTGTTGGACGTCGTGGTGGGTGTCTCTTGAAAAATTGGGCTGGCTTCTGCTGGCTGAAGGCAGCTAGCAGCCTACAGCCCTGTCAAAATGGCCCAACACAACTTGCACGGCCATTGGCTTTGAGAGGTGCGGCCTTGTTCAAGCGCTGAATTTTGGGCTCCTGCGTGACCTGGGCATCGGGTGGCATCAGTAAGCAAGAGTGTTGACAGTCATGCAGAACGGGATGCACTGGTCAAGGAGTGGGCATCGTAGATGTGCAAAAGGATGGGCATTCTGACATCCTCCTCCATAGACCCTACCTGTCAAGTTCAAGCGAGAGCTTCACGAACACTTTAGTTGTATACAATGCTTGTACCTGATGCGTTGTCAACGACTGCTCACATCCAAAGATTGCTGTGCAAAGGCTTTCTCCGCCATACTTTTGAGGAGCCAACTGGCATCGCGGGCTCTAGGGAAGGCAATGGACTTATCGGCCTCGTCATTTTTTGCCCACGGGCATTATATAAATGCCGAACTGATACTAGTACTGCGGCCCCCTGTGCCACAATCTTTGAAAATCATGTCATGTCAATGTAAACTGCCCTTCAGTCACATGCTCAGCTTCCCAAGCGCTTGGCATCATTGCAGATCGTGCGAAGATGCGCTCCAAGGTCGTTTCAGGATTCCATCCTGCCAAACGGCTTTGGGCATGCTGGAGTTGAGGCGGGGATCCCATTGGCACACCGAAGTGGCGTCAAACACTGACATTTAACAGGATTATAGTAGCGTCCTTGCTCCTAGTAGCGATGCCAGGAGCCCCTAGTAGCCCCTATGGAGTCCTGATTGTTCAGCACATGTTTCGTCCACATCAGGAAGTGTGTCTTCATTCAGCTGCGAAGCAACGCCTCTGAGTCCTGCAAGGGAGAGCGAAACGGCTACTGGGCAGCCTTGTGGGGAAAATGATGTCAAAATCATAATCATGATAATTCAATTGTACATAATTGTGCAACCATCAAACAATCGTGCGCACTGCGGCAAGGATCATTCACTCCTCCTTGCTGTCTTGATACTGGCAGCAACGATGCAGTACACGGATTCTCCTCGAGATTTTCGGCTGTCTGGGCAACATGGCATCAACTGAGCTTCAATAAAAGTCCCCTACAAAGTGCTAGGCCAATCATTGAAGCTGGCCGCACCAATCACCCGGTCTCGTGCCTCCAACCTGGAGGCTCCATTTGGCGGGCAGCCTCGGCAAACTTCCACTCTATCGGAAGCAGCGGACCAAGCAAGCGAGGGACCAAGGCACCACGAAAACAGTTTGATGTTAGATTTGATACGAATCGTTTTTCTTGATGGGGATCAATGGCAGCACACATGCAATTGCAAGTAGACCGTTCACTACTTGCTATCGACGGGAACCCCAACGAGGCAGCAAGGCTGAACGCATCCAAGGGTGTGCTCCCAGGGTATGTTGCACCTGGCTGGTGGCATTTCAGAAGTCTGTGGATTGCAGCACAACGCGGTCCACACGGGTATATGTAATAAAATGTGGTAAACTACTAAGCTCAAAAGTACCTAGCAATTACCAGTGCCAAGACTTGCAAAGGCAGCTGCAAGGTCCACTACTTCCGAACAGTGTCCCCTGTGCCTATCCTGTCTCTCCAAAGCAGCGCTGGTGGCCCCACCATGCCCCGCCTGCATGTCCGGCATGTCTGCCCGCAGCGTTAACACGGCTGAGCGCATGTGGTGGCCACAGCGGCGTGCAGGACCTCAGCCAGAGCACGGGACCAAGGCAGCGAGGACGGACGTTGTACCTTCCTCCGGTGGCGCAGGTCTGACAGCCAAAAGAGCTGACGCCAGCTGCCAACCAACCCCAGCCCGGCCCAAGTGTGATGCTGGGGTGTCGTGCTGGTATAGCCTGCGGTGACACTTCCGTCCTGACCACACCTGACTCTGCCAGAGCTCTCACCGATGCATGCCCGGCACTCAACACGCGAGAGTTTCATTTCACTCAGTCAGTGCTCAACTGAGATCATTCGGCCAAGACAAGCCGGCCTTGAAGCGGCTTGCTGTTCTTGAGCAAGCGATCCGGTGCCCTTCAATGCCTCCCAAGTGGCGTTACGTGGCCACGGCAGTTGAGGTTCAATGATTCAAGGATATTCAAGGTATCAATACCAAGCATGCTGCATGCTGGTTTGCTGGCCTCTGACAAGTGCTGGGCCAGGATCGGAAGGTCATCTGCCTTTGAAGCAGGACAGTTCAAAGAGGCATTGTGCTCAAACACCCGAACACCTGCCTCGGAGCAAGGTCGAGGTGAAGCGTTGGCAGCAACTGCAGTGCCTGCAAATGGTGATCAAGAGTTCCGTCGAATTTGATAAGAACTCTTGAGCGGCTCGCAACATATATCCACACCCATATATATATATATATATATCATCACATGTCTACTTACGTCTGGACCGTCTAGACCTGCTGCAGAACACTCCAGGAGATGTGCCCGCAATATCATTATTTTCCTGCTTGTTCCCGATGCTCAGCAAAAATGCTCTTGGCAAACGTGCTCAGATTGAGAGCTTAGCTCGGCAATCAGACTCAGAGCTGCCACTAGAGCCTGCTGGCCAACCAGTGTCGATCTGTACAAACCAGATATGAACACCAATTTCAGAAAGGCCGGACAGCTGTCTTTGTAAAAAGAATATGCTCCATTTCATATGATGTTCTTTGGGCTTCCTGAGGTGAAACTGCTCCCAAACCCCGCTTGCGCGCCGCTTGCTACATCTCACATGGCGATGTTCGGGAGAGATTGTGAGAACGACATGGAGCGTGTGTTTCGCCTCCTCAAAGCTCAGTCAAAGGCTCAAACCCGCGTGGAAGGGGCCTCCTAGATTCTAGATTCTAGATGAGCATCGGTGCATATTATTCCATTGACGGGCAGCACTACTCAGTAGCTGGGAGCAATCCGGGATTGATTCAAAACTTTGCGCCAAACATCCTGTGAAGAAAACGCCAGAACTCATATACCAAATATGCAGGTAGAAAAATGATCTCTTTCCCATTGAGGGCCTGGACTCCGCTTGACTCCACATCATAGCTACACACATCCTTCCTTTGACCAGTTTCACCCGTAGTTGCCTCATGTCTAGCAGTTGGCACCCAGTGTTTCCAAATGCCCTTGTGGACAGGACCATGGTGACCAACTGTAGGCTGTTGTAGTTGCCAGCTTTGTTCTGAAAGGCTCTGGAGTCTGCCAAGTTACGTCATCTGCTGGCGCTTGATCCTGTTCTCCATCTCCACTAAGGCGTCGGCAATATCACCTAGTGGGTGCTTTCACAGCCCGTCTGTTGACATCAGCAATCCATCATGAATCATATTCCTTCCATCCCTGACCGCGGAATAAATCAGTCGGCTGGCTACGATTTTCGAGAAGGAAAGTGCAAATAAGGCTATCAGCGCACCATGCCAAGTCTAAAGCCTGATAAAACCAATTTCACTTCCTGTTGTCCGTGGCAATCACTGTTTCGGTGGAGAAAGATTCATTGATAGAGAAGGCCTGCGGCCTGCTGAACACACATCCCATCGAACAGCATATGAATCACAAATATCTTGCTGAGTTGCTATGCCCACGGGTCTCTGCGTACTGCTTGGTGCTGGCCTTCAGCTCAGAAGCGCCACCAAGCCTTAACTCTCAAGCGGAGCCTGTACGGCTGCACTCTAATTCACCAGCTTAGTGAGTCCACAATCACCTTCTTTGGTGGGCATGCGTGCAACTAGTCATGCATCCCTCTGTATATTCAACAAATTCAACAATAAGCTGGATCCCCTGAGCACCAGACCTGTCAAAATATGAAGACCCTTTGTTACACTACCCCTCTACGTTGCCTGCAGAAAGCACTTTTGTGAGGTATTCAACCTGTCAAAATATGAAGACCAGACCTTGTTGAGACTGCGCGTCTGGACTTGAGTCCAGGCGCGATCTCTACAAAGTCATGCAGCCTAGAGCACACCAAAGCACGACATAAATCTAATCAGGTAGGAGTTAGTGCCTGGGTTGGCCTCTTTATCTGTGGGAGCGGGGGAAGGGGTAGAAACTAATGACTAATCTGGGGGCTCATCTTCCAGGAGACTAATCTGTGGGTATATAGTAGTAGTAGTAGTAGTAGTAGTAGTAGCAGTAGTAGTAGTAGTAGTAGTACTAGTAGTAGTAGTAGTAGGAGGAGTAGTAGCAGTAGTAGTAGTAGTACTAGTAGTACTAGTAGTGGCAGTGGTAGTGGTAGTGGTAGTAGTGGTAGTGGTGGTGGTAGTAGTAGTAGTAGCAGCCTTTGTAAATAGTTTCTGCCAGATTTGTAAATAGTTTCCATAGATCCACAGAGAGGCCATTTAAAGACGCCGACGCAGTCAGTAAGGTAGGAGCTTGTTTAGGGCCCAAGCACACAATCCGTTCTATTCCTTACTGCTGCATGTCACAAGAGTTCTGCGCCGGGCAACGCCATAAGGGTCTCGACGCACTTGTCATTGCCCCTCCGCGCCGCTTCATGCAAGGATGGGTGACCCGAGAGGTTCTTCACCTGAACGCAAATCGGCTATACATAACATTGCTTTTATATTACCATGGACCATGCAACTGTGGTGATCCATGCTCCATATGAATGCTTGCAGCGAATGTTTGAACTATATATATCTATATGAATTATGTATATAATATATATATATAAGGACTCACACCCTGTGTTTTCACCCGCGCATGCAGTCATGTGTCAGAAAAAACTTAAAAAGGAACATACGATCGAGAAAGACTTACCTTTCCGTTTCTCGGGTCCAAACCCTTAGAGGCGCAGCGACCTACTTTCCAGCCAATCCAAAGAAGAAAGCAGGCCGCCCCTCATTACCCCCCAAGCATCCTGCCAGTCCAGGACACTTGGGCACAGGTAAACATCAAAGTCTTTCCTCTAAGACCAGATTAGACTATTTTCTAACTATTAGTCTATTTCAATAATTCTAACTAATAGTTAGAATTCAAATAAACTAATAGTATAAACTAGGGGATAATTTAAAGTCTATTTTGTTGAATAGACTCAAGTCTATTTTGCTAAACAACCTTGGAATGTCAAGATTATGTTGGAAAAACCTGAGATCTTGTAAAGACATTTTGTTAGTTCATTTTAGGTGTTTGTGGTCACACTTTTGAAAAACACAAACTTGAGCAATGTGTGTGGCCCAAGTAACATTGAGCAGAGAGCCTAAGTAACATGGCCTAGGTAACCGTACATGGCCTAAGTAACATGCAAATTTTCTTTCAAACTCACATCACAAAGTATTTTTGGTGTCAAGTGTTGTGGAAGGCTCACAAGCTTCCAGAGGATCAGCAAGACTGACAAAAGGGTAGATGTTGTAGTTTCATGAAGAAACAAGTTTTGTCTATGTTTGTCCTAACTAGCATCGCACACATCTCCTTTCTTTGCTTTGAGCACCTGTAGCACACATGGCCGTCTCTAAGGGAATGAAGGTGGACCCTTCCAGTGGTGTGATGGACCTGCAAAAGAGTGCTGCCAAAGGAAATGAACAGAGGAGCTGGCAAAGATCTGTTTTCTTGTTTGAAGCATCCTACCAATGCTCAGTGGAGTTGGAAGACAAGTTCTTGTCCTCAATGGATGGCTCAATGTCATGAAATGTTGGTGTATTTCTTGAAGATTGCACCAAATGGGCTACTATAGGTCAGCCAAAGTTAAGCTAGCACTACAGAGGATGATCCAAGACTGTTCAAAAATGGTCAACAAAACACACTTCCATACAGCTGACTTTGTGGACCAGGTAGATCAAAGGATTCGTGTTTTGCTTGCACAAGCCAGAGGCATCAAGAAGAACCATGAAGCTTACGCAACAGCAATGAGGAAGGCCACCTTCGATTCCAAAGAGAAGGTTGACACCATTTTGGAACACCTGCAGTTGGACGGAGCTGATGACAGTACTCCTTCGACAGTACTCGCTCCACAGCTGATGACAGTACTCCTTGCATTTTACTTCACCAAATAGGTCAATATTACGTATACAAGCCCAAACAATATCTCAATAAATATATGGAAATATTGCATTTTAAAAAGTCAAATTCAACTATGACACCAAAGTGACACAAAAGTGACACTAATAGTGCCACTATTATTTTGAAACTGCAACTTTTTCAGTGTAGTTTTAAATAAAAGTGACACTTTAAGTGTCAGTTGCAATGTAAAAGTTGTCACTTTTGTGTCGGTTTTGTGTCGCTTTTGTGTCGGTTTTGTGTCGCTTTTGTGTCGGTTTTGTGTCGGTTTTGTCTCGCTTTTGTGTCGGTTTTGTGTCACTTTTGTGTGTGTCACTTTTGTGTCGCTTTTGTGTCGCTTTTGTGTCACTTTTGTGTCGCTTTTGTGTCGGTTTTGTGTCACTTTTGTGTCGCTTTTGTGTCGCTTTTGTGTCACATTTTGTGTGTGTGCGTCACTTTTGTCGCTTTTGCGCCGCTTTTGTGTCACTTTTGTGTCTCTTTTGTCACTTTTGTGTCACTTTTGTCTTACTTTTGTGGCACTTTTGTGTCGCTTTTGTGTCAGTTTTGTGTCACTTTTGCGTCGCTTTTGTGTCACTTTTGTGTGTCTTTTGTGACACTTTTGTGTCAGAGTCAGTGTTCAGTACTTTTATGTCAGTGTTATAATATGTTTCATGTTTTGCTTACGTCTTTTGTGATTTTGTTTGTTAAGTTCGTGTAGGTTAGTTGAAATGGCTAAATGAAAAACTAGGCAACTACATGCACAGTAGTATGAGTCCACTGTGGTTATCTATCTTGAAGCATTTGGCAACTTGTATTATGTTTGTTGCGTTGTCTTTTGTGGCTCCAGAGTTGCTTTGTTGCAACAAAGTGTTCTTGTGCATATGACAGTAAAAATATGTAAAAATAAACAGCACAAAGTAAAGGACACAAAACAAACCGACGCAACGAAAGACAAAACGTGACATAGAACAACTCAAACATAAAAGTGAATCTAGGTAGCATTCAGTGGGGGTCTAAGTAGCACTTGGTGACCAGCTACGGCTTCACCAAACAAGAGGGAAGCAGCTACAGAAGAAGCAGCTACCCCTGCCAAAAGTGCACGGCAGGAATGGCACCTGCGACACCCATGAAAAGGCCAGCAGTATCAGTCAAGCCTCATGCAAAAAGCAAAGCAAAAGCACCACAGCCAAAGGCGAAGCCAACCATAGAGAAGAAGAAGGAGAAGGAACAGAAGGCAAAAGCCAAGAGTAAGCCCAAAGCAGTTCCAAAAAAGCATGAAAAGGACAGCTTTTCAGACAAAGTGCAGAAGTGGAAGCTGAAGGAAGAC